CCCTCTCTCTCTGGGTCGGCCGTGCATCATCACGCGTGGCACATCGAACTGCGTGCGTGGGGTTACAAACTGTCTCTCATTTTCTCTGTCCTTCGAGAAGGACCGATATGACTCTGGTGTTGTGCATCACGTGATCGCACCCGTTGCTGCATCCCCGCACCACCACCGCACCGAGGTGCAGGCAGGAGAGGGAGCCCCGCACCTTGTCGCCGGCCAGGTGCTCGAGCTTGGCCCGGCCGCCGCCGCTGCGGCCCGCCGCGCCACCGGCAGCTCGCCGGGCACCGTACGCACACTCAGCACACTCGGGCGCGGGGGATAGTTCAAGGCCCCGCCGCCGACACCCACACGCGGGCCGGGCGCTGTGGTCGGCCACCGCGCCGCGCTCCTGCTCCACCAGCGAGCGCTCAGCTGCGTGATCTGGACTCGGAATCTAGTGTCTGGCAAAAAATGCCTTTTGCAGGCGACCGCAACGCTCCCCGGCTTTGCCTCTCTCTCGCTCTCTCTCCCTCCCCCTCTTTGTTTCTCTTTCGCTCGCACCGTCTGTCTCCTGCCGCGCTGCTCGAAATGGGTCAAACACTACCGACTCGGCCCGAGAGAGGTACGACGACGCGGTGGTGCAGGGCGCCGGCCTCCTGGCCCCCGCCCGCACTGCTGACCCGGTGAGGAGCCAGCCGTGAGCGACGTGTGGAGCGCGGCGGTGGCGCAGCAAGCACCATGCCGCCCCAGGGACCGCAGCGCTTCAAGTGACTTTAACGCGCGGCAGGTGATGAGTGCCTCCAGGCCGCAGGTTACTGTCCGCGAACTCCCGTCGCGCTGCTCGTGCGCTTTGTGTGTCGTTTTGGAGGGCCCCTCGTGTGTCTTTTGCTGGGCATTACTGCATTTTCTGGTCATTTTTCGTGTTTCTTTTACGACTTTTCTAATGAATGTCTTCTCTTTCGCAGTGAGGAGTAGGGTGGTGGGGGAGGAGTTAAAACTCAGCATTATCAAGACGCTTTTCAATATAATTTAAGATTTTCTTCATAAATATAACATTCAAACACATGTTTCCAATATATCGGGCGCGCTGGCACGCTCCTTCTTAAGGCACTGTACATATAACAACTTTGTACACTCAAACAGGAGGCTCCCCTCCTCTCGCATATGACTAGCTTGCAACTAGTAGAAATCGCTTTCTACCAACAGGAATACATATAAATAATGTTTTCACACACTTATCTATGTACAAGTGTCTGTGATTTGTGGATACAATCATGATGATTAATCATTATAAAAAATCACTCTCGAACTTTGATTACAGACGCTACAAATCTCAGAGAGGACCTAACACAATGCACTAAAAGATTCCTCCACAACATCACTTCTAATTTTACATGTTTTCAACATTAAAAAAAAAAAGAGTCTTTGGAACGTTCGGTAGACACAAATGTCAAACTAGCCAATAAAAAAAAAAACTAATTCACACGCCTCATAAGTCAACAGGTAAAAAATAATTCATCGCATACAAAACAGAGATCGCATGATAACAGTTCAACAAAACGACAAAGACTAAGCACCCTAGCGGCGCACAGCCCGTAGTACGCACGGGCCGCGAGGAAAAGAGGAGAAGAAGGAGGAGAAGAAGAAAGGAAAGAAATCAGTCTTGAACCGCCCATGTTCGGGCACCCTGCGCATGCAGGCGGGGACCGCTCCGCGTGGGAAGCAAGAGATGGCCCCTTTGTCCGTCAATTTAACACATTTCCGCGCCGAAAGGAACCGCGCCCCGCCTCGGAGAACAATACCCAATCACAAATATCGTCCTGCAGGCGGCGAGCCGCTCCACTGGAGGCGCAGTCGATCGGAACCCCAGCGGGGCGTGGTGGCGCGGCGGGGCGGGGCGGGGCCCGGCGTGAGGCTAATTCCTCAATCGCGTCGTGGGCCCTCCTAGTGGCAGCCGCTGTCGGTGTGCTTGGTCAGCAGCGACATCCTGGAGAAGGTCTTGTTGCAGACGGGGCACTGGTACTTTTTGACGTCGGCGTGCGTCTGCAGGTGGGCGCGCAGGTTGGAGCGGTCGGCGAAGGCGCGCCGGCAGTGCTGGCACGAGAAGGGCTTCTCGCCGGTGTGCGTCCGGATGTGGCCCTGGAGCAGCCACGGCCGCGAGAAGGCCTTGCCGCACAGCGGGCACTTGCAGGGCAGGGTGTGCGTCCGGATGTGCATCTTGAGGGCGCCCAGCGACACGTACACCTTGTCGCAGTGCTTGCAGCCGAACGACTTCTGCGCCGAGGACGTCTCGCTGTGCACGCAGTGGAACTGCTGGTGCTTGCTGAGCCCCGAGTAGGTGGAGTAGCTCTTGTTGCAGTCGGGGCACTGGTACCTCGGCGACGTGCTCGAGGACCCGGACGACGAGCTGGGGGCGCGGTGCTTCTTGGCGGCGAGGGCGGTGCCCACGAGGCCGGGCCCGGTGCCCGCGCTGCCCAGGGACCCCGACGAGGCCACGCTGCCGGGGGAGGACAGGTCCTCGGGGGTGGTGGGCGGCGGAGAGTACACCTGGAAGCCGGACGACGAGTGGTGCGAGGACGTCGACGAGGTGGGCGACAGGCCGGCGGGCGGGGCGGCCGTCCTGGGCAGGCAGGCGGCGCTGAAGCCGACGTGGGCGGGCGGTGAGATGGCGCCGTCCCTGAAGGGCGGCGAAGGCAGCGGGTGCATGAGGTGCTGCAGGGGCGGCGACCTGGGCGCCGCCGGGTACAGCACTGCCGGGTAGTGCGGGTGGTGGTACACCTCGGCGGGGTAGGGGTAGGCGAACGGCAGGTAGGGGTAGTGGTGCGGCCAGGCGGCGGGCGCGGGCGGGTAGAGCGCGGGCGCGGCCTCGTGGGGCGCGTTGAGGTCGAGCGGTTCCAGGGGCAGCTTGATGGCTACGGGGCTGGCGGGCGCCGTGTGCTTGGCGCGCAGGTCCTCGGGCTTGGTGCTCAGGTTTTCCGGCTCGACTTCGTCGGGCTCGTCATCTGCAACAAGGAGAGAAACGGTTCCGGTCAGCGATACTTGTAGCAGAGAAGGCAGTCCTTTTTCGCGCACACAGTGGACGCATAAAGTCGGGCGGGACGGGCGCAGGTGGGGGGGCGCACTATCTGGCTCTATTGGAACCGGTCCCGGGGTAAGGAGCTCTCCGAGCCCCGCACTGGGCGCGCGATGACACCGGGGAGGGCACGGCGCGGGCGCGCGCGGGGGAGGGACGCGGCCGGGACGAGGCGACACTTTCTCCACCCGGTTGATCCGGGCCCGTCAGATTACGCACCCTCCGGGTCACGCGAGGGCCTCGGGGCCGCTATTTACGCGTCCAAGGTCCAAAGACAACAGCAGCAGCAGCAGCGCCCCGCCCACGCCCCGGCGTCGTCGTCGTCCTCCTGCTCCCAGGTGCCGGTCCACGAGACTTTACACGCGTTATCCCGAGCTAATCGCCCTGGGCCCTCTCACAACACACACACCCACACCACCACCACCACCACACTCACACACAGACACACTGGCATTCCGAACTTTACGGCCATCAAATCCTTCGGACGGGCTGAGCGGCCGAACAACCCGCCTCGTCGGGTCGTACCGAATCGCGACAGCTCACACGCAGGCGCGCACACACACACACACACACACACACACACACACACACACACACACACACACACACACACACACACACAGAGGAACGCACGACACCTGCCGGTCGGCCGACCGGGCGGGCCGGGCAGTCTGCCACCCACAGGCCCCACTGCCGCCGCCCCGCCCCTCCCCGCCCCGCGCTCTCAATGGACCGGGCGGAGACAACACACCGGCAGGCGACATCCCGGCTCGCAAACGCGTTACGTTTTCTGAATGGAGCCGACCCGCGTCCCCTCTGTGTGTCCTTTTCAAGAATGCAACAGCTCCTCCTCCTTCTCCTCCTCCTCCTCGTCCGCTCGACTGTGCGGCGCTGTGCTCTACTCTGCCTGTGGGGCTTCGGGGAAGCGCGACGGGCGGCGAGTGTGCGACCAACAGCCACAACAGGTGGAAGAGTGCAGGTGGCGAGAGCGAGCAAGAGGGAGAGAGAGAGAGTATGGGAGAGCGACGCTGAGCAGGCGCCCCTGAATACATCAGCGTCGGCTAGTGAATAAGACATACGCCCGTCACCACACTCACACACACACACACGCACACGGCGCTACGCAGACCCTACTACACATCGCTTGTCGCCGGCCCCGGTTAAGGTTAAGACCCCCGCTGCCCTCGCTGAGCCTGGACGACGACCCCCGACAACAACGGGCGGACAACAACAACTCCGGCGCAATCGGTACGGATCCTCACCTTGGTAGTGCACCGGCCTCTTCTTGAGCGGGCAGTGGCTGTAGTTCTTCTTGATGAGGAATGCGCGAGGCATGGTGGCGGCTGTGTCTGCGGCGAGGACGCTGACGTCGGAGACTGCTCGCATGGAGCGGTGAGGGTATCCAAGTGGCGACGAGGTAATCCAATAAGTAGTTGGGCACTGATCACACACACACACGCACACTCGCGTTCAGTGACTGGCGCACGTCCGCACGGCTCGAGCTCCGGCGAGCGACTGACAGGACGCGAGTCTGTCGGCGCGGGGCTTGGGCGGCTGGCGGCTGCAGGGCCAGGACGACGACGACGAGGAGCACGTCTGTTCGCCGCGACTGCCTCGCCGGTAATGAAGTCGGATGCAGGCTGGCCGCACGTCGTCGACCCCGCCGCAGCCGCCAGGACCTCCAGGTCGGGCGGGGC